TGAGAGACTAGAAAGAATAATTGGTGGCGTTACCCTGTCTCAGATCCCTGGTCCCTGCTCCTTGTCCGCCTACTCTGTCCCCTCATTAAAATCAACACCCGACGTCGCATTCAACGATGATATTTCAGACTTCGTCATCGTCATTAATATTTGGCGCTTAGGCAAATGCAGCCGCATGAATTGTGACCAAAAACCTCCACTCCGCCACGCCACACTCCACGCTCCAACATCCTGTTCGTGTATGGAGAATGGAGTTGGGTATATGGACCACCCGTTGCGTTAAGCACAATGCCAGGACACCAGGATGACGCGTTGTTTTTGTGCAGCAGCAGCAGGACTCGGAGAAGGTGCCAGCCAACAGAGATTTGTATCTTTTGGTCCATTGTTTGCAGCATCGAAATAATGCCGTTTCATGCATATGCATTCACGTATGGATTTTGCACTGAGTTTGGGGACTCTCAGCTAAAGTACGGGTGGGGCTGCTGGAAAGCCGTGTTAGATGGATGGATGCTATAGAGTGGGAATGGGTTGAAGGGGGGATGCACTGTGCAGTGCAGACAATCAAATTTCATGTCAGAATGTGCCGGCGAATAAAAGCGCTCTGCTTAATATGCACATTCATATGTATGTATGGCTCTCTCTGGCTTCCAAAAACTGTTCGTCTATTCTCTGGCAGCCAGGCAACGCCTCTGCGGCATCCATTTGGGGCCATCCATTTGCCAAAGCGCATCAAAATAATGAGCAGCCGCCCGTAAATATGCTTTAAAATTTTATGAGATGTCATCATGGATTAATGAATGTGAGGCAAAAGTGCGGGCTCTGGTACAGGGTTTGAATAATTACCACCGCACATGATGTGGCTTCCCGCTTAAATGCAGGAATGAAGAATTTGCTGGGAATTTGCTGTGGTTAGCTGCTGGAAGAGAGAGGAAACTTTTCGACATGGCAGCTTGAGCGGAGCGAAATTCAACTGAAAGTTTATAGCAATAAGTTATTGCAGCTAATCACAAATAGTCAAGAGAGTTCTTCATGAAATCTTCGCTATCTACTCTCCCTCCCAGGTTAAGCCAGAAATTAGCTTGAAGCCCAAGCTTGTCATTGAAGTGAAGTATTGGTCTATTGGCTTTCCTCCTCAATGCGTGCTAAAAGTGTTTTTCTTTTTGGGGTTTTTTGCGCCAGTGCAAACACAAATAACAACAGCAGAAACAACCACAAGGAGCACTTAAAAGAAACACGAAGTAAGTGGTGGAAAGCCCCAACAAGAAACAGTGGCCGAAGCACCACTCCAAAAGAGAGAGTGAGTGAGTGAGAGAGAGGAGCCAGGGGCAATATACACCTACAATCGGAGCTCCACACCGTTTTCTACTTCTTGTGGCGTTTCTGTTTTTGTTGAGGTGGAGGGGTGGAGGATTTGTTTTGCATTGCCAAGGTCCTTCCTCACACCAGCACCTGGCAGCTGCCTCCCCGTTTTGGATTGGAGCCAATCGAGTGCTCGCTGATGTGGTCAAGTGAATTATCAAGTCATGGGGTTACGGAAGTTGCCTGGCAGTGAACTGAATTTGCATTAGCATCAAGTGCTTGACACTCTCACTATTTATAGAGGTGTCGAGGAATGCCATTTTGATGATTGCTTATCGATTTAGTGGCTATCAAATGTAATTAACCATTCGATTGGATGAAAGTTATGCAGGGTACTCTTTACTCTTTCCTCTTTACTCTTTACACAGGAGGAGGGTCAATCAAATCCCCCAAAAACTTCAATCGATTTGATGCCATCCACGCGTGGAAAAGCCTTTCACAATTTAACTTTAACAAGCGCCACGAAAACTATTTTAAATTCCACTTTTCTGTCAGTGAAAAAGTCTCTTTAAAACCCACACACGTACATGCACACGGACACGCTACAATTGCAACTGTGCAGATGGTGGTGGTTGGGGTGGGGCATTGCCCACCCATATGTTGCCACACAAAATTTAAGGTCTACACGGAGAAATGCTGTTGCAACAATAAAATGTTTGCAATTTAATTAAACGATATTAAACAATCTTGCCAGCATTTGTGCAAACATGTGTGGCAATTGTGTTCGCTCGTAATCTAAATTTGTAAGTTGCCATCTCTCTGGGAAATCCAGACAGAGGCCCCGCACCACCACCCTTTCACGCTGCAATTGCCGGACAAGTGGAAGTTTTAGGGTTTCTGGCTGCTGTGGCTCTTGTGTTGGTGTTGCAGCAGCATCCACTTTTGTGGCTATTTCTGAGAAGTTTTCTTGAATGTCTCCCGCTGCCTGGCGGCAACCAGCAGCAGCAGCAGCAACGGCAGGAAAAGTGTAGACCCAGAAATAGTTTTCACGTTCTATTTCGGTTTCATAAAATTCAAAGAAAAGTGCAGCCAGGGAAAAGGCAGGCGAGGGGAGCTGCCTGTGAGGGAAGGAAGTAATAAATGTAAAGTATGGCAAAGTTTTCCCTCTGATTATGATAAAGGATAGAAGGCCGGAGGACAGTCGAGATACACTCATTTGGTCAGCAAAATGCACAAATCGATTCGATTCGATGCGCTTCGGTATGAATATGTAGTTATTGAAGAAATAACTCACACAAATGCTTGTCTAAATATTTGCACACGTAACCGCACATTTCCCATACGCAAACATCCAGCTGGAAAGTCAATAAAAAAGGGATTTTTGCATTGGCCAAAAGTTTTTAATGAATTTATTCTCTAAACAATGAACAAAGAACAAAGAACATTTTCCTAGCCCTAATTTATGGCACAAACAAAATGTAATGCACAAGTCAGACAATAATAAAAGGCATCGACATCCAATCGAATGGCAGAGAAAGGCAGAAAAACCACAGCAGCATGAGGCAGGAATGCCTGGAGCTCTGCTCGTAATTGAAATATATTTAAGGTCCCTGGAAAGTAATGTAGCGGTATGTATGTACATAAAGCCGATGATAGGCAGAGGGCATAATATTCATGAAGATTTATGCATGCAGATGCTCAAGCAGATGTTTAAAGATTGTTCCTGGATATGGAATCTAAGATGCAAAAGCATCTCAAAGCACGAGTGGGACTTGCTTTGGGTTGCTTAAGCACTGACAGCATAATCGACAATCGTCGGAAGGAATTGCTAATCTAAACACTCCAATTGAATTGCAATCGAAGCTACAGACAAATAATTGGATAGACGACTAACGATTACGGACTTACCATGTCGTATTCAATTACGGATAATTAGACCATTTTCCAATGGACTGTTGCTCTGCCTGTTATGATGGTGAATGCATTTGTGCCACGTGCACAGAAAGCCAAGCTCTCCCTGCCTCCCACATATGCATATGCAGATACAGCTGCAGCTATCCACGAGGCACGCAGCTAGAAATTCAATTTTAATGCGGCTATTACATAATTTGATCCTTGTTCTTGCCCCGACACTGAATGCATATTAATTAAGCTACGAAATTTGATTGTGAGCCAAACTGCAGCCACAAACAGTAGTAGCAAGTGGCAAGTAGGATCAAAGGAGCTGCAAGCCTCCGCTCCTGTCCTTATGCTGCAGCCTTGGGGCAGCAGACAATGAAAAGGGCTAACCAAGCATAAAACTTTGCCCACAAATCACTTACATGACATGAGAAGGGGCTGGAACTGGGACTGGGACTGGGCCTGAGGCTAAGCTGGGCCAATGAAAATATATAGATTGTTAATGGAAGCTCTTCCTACTTCCGAAGGAGTTGTGTGACCTTTGGCCATTTTTGGATGACTTTCTCCATAACAATTTCCGTGGCTGTCCGTCTGATGTCTGTGGCAACTAATTTGACAGGTGAACGTTATTAAACTGCCACTCTCAGCGGCTCCAATTCAATTAATTTGTGATGAATAAATAAGCAAAAAGTAGCGCTAAAAATGCCCAATGTTGAGCATAAATATTTAAATATTTATTTCTTTGCAGTGTACACACACACACGCACACACACACATCCAACTGACATCACATTTAATTAATTGAATAACCGCTTTTAACAAACATTAATAGCATTCATTTATCTGACAGGACCACTTTTCATTTACATTTATTTTCACTTATGTATAAATATGATGAACCAACTATGCACACATACATATGTACATACATAGTAGAGTACTTCAATTGGCTTTATATTTGCACAACACATTCTCTTTGTGGCTTCAATTGTGGATCATCATCGATGCCCAGGGCTTGGGATAACCCATCTTACAGGCAGCTGTCCATCCGCTTGCTTCGTTTACTCGCGTGAATTATTCCTAATGGCAGCTAGTCGAAGTTGGATACAAGATTGCATGTTGCCATCATAATAGTGGAAATTGACAGATACTTTTGTCTGCTTGATGCCTCGTCTCCAACAATCCATTTATCCCTTTGGCACATCAATTACAAACGATTAATTTGACTAATTGGCAGAGACACAAGCAACTCGAAGCTTCCGGCTAAACAAAAGGGATAACTAAATGGCGGGGACATCTTTTCCATGCCCAATCGCCACATCAGTCTCCATCTACTGCCACTGCCACTGCCACTGCCACTGCCACTACCATCTCCATTTCGATTGCGATTTCCATCCATGTGAGAGAGGAGAGGACAGGACAGGACATGTTATGACGTACCCGTGTAAACGTCAAATGCCAGAACGTACGTCTGCTTGTGTTTGTGTTCCGAGGGAGAGGCGATAAACAAAGAAGCAAGCTGCTGCTGTGGGTGAATGGATGGATGGTGTCGGTGTGTGTCCCGTGTCAAGCAATTTACAAGTCAAAGCCATGCCATGTCAAGACCCGTTTCTGACAGCCCGTGCGGCCTTCTACTCCTCCTCCTTTCAATGCTAGTTCCAAGATTTCATCACCATTGCCTTAATTAATACCAAGAACAACGGGGCTGACAGGGCCCCGTGCCTGATCCTGAGACTGAATTTGACTTGACGCGTGTCGCTATGCGGCATGTTCGACTCTGTTCGTTCCTGTTATAACTTGAGTTGAGAGAGGATTTTCCTGTTTATTGGATATACTTTGCCAGAGCCTGACTGAAATCAGCGGAGCAATCCCTTTGCCATTGTTGGTTCACCCTGACCAACTCGAGCGCTTTCTGCAGTGGTTTCTCGAACTGCTTCAGGTCCTTCAATTGCTCCCTGAGTCTCTCCGAATCTTGTGGTTTATGTAGACCTCCAGCCAGGGTCTGCAGTAGGCTCGTCAACTGGCGTTTCTTGAACTTTTCACTGCGAAGAAGTCATCAATTATTCGTTGTGGTTGGGAATTACTTGTGGGTCAACTTACTTGAGTCTCTTGGCATGGGAGAGTGTGTGGTCGGCAGCCTCGACGCCCAAATGCTCACGTGTCAGTGTGGTCTGCACCGCCAGCAAGTAGCAATCGTTGGTTTCCTTCTTCTCCGACTCGAGAGTGTAGTCCAGGAACTGCCTCAGCAGACTGATGTTGCGGCTGCAGCCGAGAGCCGAGGCCCACATACCCTGCTGTGAGGCGTGCGTCGAGTTCCTAAAGAGCTGCCACACATGCTGGAACTCCGCCTCGCCGCCCTGCTCGATGGTGGTGCAGTAGGCCACCTCCTGGAGGTCGGCGGGTAGCTCCAGGGTATTCAAATGTCGCATAATGAGCAGCTTTGCCTGTTCGTTGCAGTCGTCCACGCGGTAGCGACAGGCCTGCGTGTAGGTCAACCGCGTTAGCGCCATGTCCCTGATGGTTGAGGACATGCCCGTGCGGGCGCCCAGCTTGGGCAGGCGTCTGTAGAGCAGAGTGAGTAGCTTTGCCATGTAAACCTAGGAGAGTTTTCGATGTAATAGAGTCTTCAGGGAATCATCACAGCACCTACCCTGAACTCTTTTGCCTGTTGCCCAGTCAGCAGCATTCCAATGCGATTCAGGAGGCCCAAACTCCTGTCCCAGGGCAAGAAGTGCTCCTCCCGCTGCAGATACTCAAAGAGATCGAAGGCCCAGTCATAGCTGAGAAGTTGTACCCCACCCAAGGCCATCAGATCATCCATTAGCTGGACTCTGTTGAGCACGTGAATGTCCCCAAAGTTGGGATCATTCCTCAGGCTGTTGATGATCATTCGCCAGTTTTGCTCGTCATAATTCACGCGATAAATGGCACTGACCTGCGGATTCAGAATGAGCCACCCATCGCGAGAGGGTCCACTGGGCAGTTCCACTGTCTGTCTGGGACACTCTAGCCAAAACTGTGGACGAGTTTGCTCAAAGTCGGGCTGAGTCTGGGAGACAAAACTCAGCGGCACCCACCAGCAGTTGTCGGCAGTGGCAGCGGCTTCCCTCAGGCCCCTCTCCAGGTAAAATCTCGTTTGATTGAGGCTCACCCTACCCGTTTCGTAGTCTCGAATGGCGGTGACCAGTGGATAGCCACCCTGCAGAGTCCACGTGTCCATGGCTGGAGCAAGCTGGAAGTCAGCGGGCAGCACCTTCAGCTCCTTGGCTGCCTGCTGCATGGACTGCCACAGATCCGCCTGCGCCACATTCCCAAAGGAGTGCTGGGCGAGATAGGAGCGAATGGCCAGGAAGAAGGCCTCCTCGCCGAGCAGCTTGTGCAGCATTCGCACAATCAGCGCTCCCTTCTCATAGACGTACTCTGTGAACTGGCCAAGGATCTGTGCAGGATCCTTCACCTCCCTGGAAATCGCTCGCACCGAGCTGGCCGAGTCCTGGCGAAAGAAACGAGCCAAATCCTTGCCTATAAATCGCTCGCCGCGACCCGAAGCGGGCTGCAGGGCATCCAGTGCCAGATAGGTAAAATACGTGGACGGACCCTCCTTCAGCCAGAGATCGTTCCACCATTTCATGGTCACAATGTTGCCGAACCACTGGTGGGCGTACTCGTGGGCCAGTGTCTTGGCCTTGCTGTCCTCTGGCTCCTGCAGATCCACGCCCGGAATGTGCACGAACTTGTCCTCTTTGAAGGTGACCAAACCCCAGTTCTCCATGGCCGAGAACCTGTGCGTGGGCGCCGCAAACTGGTCGATCTTTCGCAGCGGAAAGTCCAACTGGAAGAGATCCTCAAAGTAGCCGAGCACCTTGGGGGCCATTTCGATGGACACGTTGCCCTGATCCACCGCCTTGGGCTGCAGCCAGTTGCGGAAGATCACCCCGTGCTTGGTGTCGCTCGGCACGGTGGCCGCGTTGGTCAGATCGTGGACCGCAAAGGCCACCAGGTAGGCGGATGTCCGCAAGAGTTGTTCGTGCTCGCACCACACATAGCTGTGGAGGCTTTCGCTGCAATTATTGAAGAGATAGAGAAAGAGAGAGGATTGAGAGTTCTTCGAATTCTTACTGCTTGTGGCACCTGCGAATGGGCATATTGCTGAGACCCGTGTAGCTTTTGTGGTAGCCGAGGGTCACGTTGAAGGTGGCCTTCCAGTAGGGTTCATCGAAGCAGGGAAATGCCTGCCGGGCAAACGTAGGCGAGAACTGTGTGACTGCCATGTAACTAGCGAGAGGAAAGGAATAAAGGGGAGTCTGTCCAGGAGCCACAAATCGGACACTTACTGTTTCTCCTTGGTCTCTGCATTCGTGTAGGAGCTGTTGTAGTAGCCCGATTCTGTTGCATTCAGCAATGACTCAAAGTGCAGCGTCAGCTGATAGATCTCACCCAACTCCAGTTCCCTGCACAGATGCAGGATGTAGTAGTCGTAGAGCTCATTCAGCTCGATCTGAAGCTCCTCTGTGGCCGTAAATCCCTTTCCAGTTAGGGAAATGCGAGACTCATTTATCCGTAGATTCCTCGCATGCAATGTTATGTTCTGCGTTGATTGCAGCACTCGCAGATCGATGCTCACGTCACCCTCGAAGCGCAGATCGGTGGCATTCAGATGGGTGAGGATGCGTAGATCATAGTGCAGTGGTTCCAGCGAGGTGGGCAGTCGATGATGATCGTAGACAGCCAGGCTTGCAGAAGGCAGCAGCAACATCAAACTGAGGCAACAAATGGCAGTAGATCCCAGCATGCTGTGGCTATAAAACAGAGCAAAAACACAAGTCAACCCATTACAATTTCGATTTAATGCACTGCAAAACATGCTTCTAAATATTCTGCGGGCTCCCAACAAAATTATTCGTGCCGGGATGCAGCTGCCACATGGCCCCACCTCTGCGCCGTGCTGCCGACAGCTCAGTCTCGAACCCACGGTGAGCCAAATGGTGAGCCAGCTGAGGAGCCAGCTTAAGGAGACGCGGATATATCTACAGGAGCGGTACTTCATGTGGAAGCTGCGCTACCTGCTGGGGCCGGACTTCAGCAAGGAGGAGTTCCTGGAGGGAACGTATCAGGCCACCGCTGCGATGCTGGAGGCGGTGCGTCGCGTCGACTGGCGGAGCATTCGAAACTTTTGCACGGAGGAGTTCGCCCTCTCCATGTACATAATTGCCCAGCGGGAGAGTGTGTACGCTAATCTGATGAGGTTACAGGCCGACGACGTAGAAGTATCACAGCCCGTGACATTCAGGAGGAAAAAGGGCCACAATGGCCGAAGTTTTGTGTACGTGGAGCTGGGGATTGTGGGAATGCGCTTTGTGCGCGTCAAGCCGGATGAGCTGATGGAGATTTCGGGCTTGCCACTGACGGTGCCGTCCCACCAACAGATTCTCTTGGCCACCTTCAAAATCGCATTCCGCAAGGAGCTGTCCGGCACAGACGGTAGCTGCCCCAAAGATGAGGCGTGGCTCTTCAACTCCTTCAGGCTGCGCGACATGTCATTGATGGGCTTCTGCCCCCAAAGTGGCGAATGCTGGTTCATTCGTCCCGTCAAACCGTATTAGATATAATCGATTTGTGTCTCAGGTGTAACCGGTTTTCTTTTTGTTAAGCATAACTGCAGTCACGTGCCAGTTCAACGATCGCCCGAAGACTGTCGACAACAACTCTGAAATAATCAACGTTAGCCTCTCGCAATTCTACCTGTAATCACGTATGTTCTCTCAACTGAACTGAAACTGAGAGCTGAGAGTGCTCTGTTCTTCGCTCTTCAATGATCGCAAACGAACTAATCGAATTCTGGGGCAACGGGCCTCATTTATGGCATTCCGTCGGTAATCGGTAATCAGAAATGTTTCAAATTGTTGTGAATTTGTACTTTACATTGCAAAGTGTAAAGATAGTATATAAATACCTTCCAAGACATGCACGAGTCCGCCAATCCATATGATTTATGGCTGTACCCCAATGGATAGGGAAAATCGAATACAAAGTATTCATATCGAATACAAACTGAAGTCAAACTCGCATGCAAGTTTTAGTCTTTAATTGTCTGCACAGAATAAATCAAAAGAATAAAGAATTTTAATTAAGGCTTTCTTTTGGTGTGACTTTTGTCAAATTTGCCAAGCTCTCTATCTCTATCTCTTTCTCTCTCTCTACTATTGCCTGCAGCAAACGCACTCACGCACATTAGCAATCCAGATTCTGTTGCACTTTGGCAAAGTATCCCCCCCTTGTCTGGGATGGGGGGAATCACGGCATGTCGCTTTCGAATGGAACATAAAAAATTGAGGGCTTAATTAAAAAGCAAAAATGTGCTGCGATTTTCCGCTTTTTTAACGCCAACAGCAGCAGAAACTTCGCTACCTCCCAAAAAAAAAAGAAAAAAAGAAAATAAACCCTTGTTGATGGCCAGGGACGTGACACACACACACACACACACACAGAGCAGCATGCATGGGGGCACAAAAAGTGAAGAGAAACTACTTGGTGGCGACTTTTTGCGCACTCCTTGGCAGCCACTCCACTCCACGGCCCGCCACTGCCATGCGAAATGGCGCTGCTGGTCGCTGGTCTCATGTGTCTTTTTATTTCAACTCTCTCCTTTGCTTCTCCGCTTTCCTTGTGCACAAATTAAGGTTTTTCCCATCAGGTTTAGCTCTCCTACTCTCCTTTTGTGCACCTCCCGGGGACCGTGACTTTTGTTGTTAATTAAAGTTAGGCTAAAAACGAGCAGGACCTCTTGCTCTCTCTCTCCCTCTCCCTCTCCCTCTCTCTCCATCTCCCTCGTGTGCTCATTAAAATTGAAATGTGACTGCAGTCAACAAATTGTGTTGTTCTGGTGGGGCCACCACCAGATGGAGAAAGTAGAACAGCTTTTTCTATGTGATTTTCTTTGAATCAATGCAGTTTCAGCTCTTCGATTCGGTATTTGTTAGCTGTATATTTGAGTTATTTTTTGTTTGCCGCAAAATCGAATTTATATGCAGTTTGCCCTGGCCAAAACATTTCTTTCCAACTTCAATCAGTGTGGCAGTTTATGCAATTTCCGAACAATTTGAAATTTGCATTTGTAAAACAAACTAAAACTCTTCTTGCTGCCAATGTCATTTGTTGTCCTGCACAACAGGATCTGTTCTCTCGCCCCGAATCGGGGGCAATTTCGGTGTGCTTTAAAGTGCAACATGGCAGGCCACATAAATAAATGTTTGCACATTTACTTTACCGCCCGGGCGGTAGTTGGCCCCTGCAAGAGCTCCTGCCCGACGTCTTCGGAGGCAACCATCTCGATGTTCCGAGTGTTGTATACGCTTCGGTTGCTGCTCCCAGCACGTCCATAACTCAACTCTGGCGTGGGAGGAGCTGCTGCTGCTTGCCCAGACGCTTTATTTACTTGCAATTTGAAATGGACTCCACTGCACAACGGACTCCCCATACAAATCCCGAATCCCGAGCAACTCTTCGTTCTGATGCTGCAGTGTTCCGGCTGTGATTTCCGTCCCTGGAGAGACATTGCCATAACTTTGTATATTATAATGGCAATGCAATTGGGCAAACTTTGGCAGCACAACAGTTCGATGAACTGCACACATCACCGGGGATGGAGAACACTTAGTGCACAGCATTGAGTGGCCCAAAACAGTGGCAAAAGAAAAGAAAATTCTGATTCAAATCCAAGACATTTAGCGCTAACAAAATGCATTGAAATAATCAATAGGAGTACGACTGATGGACCGCTGTGTGTAGTCGATACATTTGGCATCGCTGACGGGCAGCCGCAGTCGCAGCTGGAGAGGATTATGCCATGACAATGGACAAAGTACCGGCAACGGCTCCATTCTCTCCATTTTCGGGGCAGTTAGCAAAATATCACGTAGCAAATGCGACAGCGTGGTCAACATAATGAATGGGGGCCTGCCACCCATTGCGATGAGTGCAGCACAGAGAGCAGGTGCATGCCCGTGCCCGTGCCATCCGCTCCAACACATGCACCCGGGGAGTTCATGTCTGGCGTCCATTGATTGCTTTGGCGGGGACTATTGCAATAACCTTTCTTCATGTCCGGGCTCAGCCCAAAACTGGCGCTGTGCTCGACCAAATGTCACGACATCTCTGCACGGTCTCTGCTCGGTCTGGCCCGGCACAAAGGAACACAGGGAGACAGAAGTTGCCTCCAAAAAATGTGTCGATGCACGTGACATTTTCAGTTGCAATTTGCAATTTGATTTTGTTACCCAAAACGGACTGCAATGCTGCCACCTCCCCCACTCCCCAGTTGTAGGAGCAGCAGCAGCAGCGGCTGCTGGCTGCATAAGTTCAAGGATCAAATTGATTCCCTGGGCTGGCAAAAGGTGCTGTGTGTGGCCAGGCGAGGCGTCTTTACATTGTTACACTTGACCAATTCGGATTGCAATTACACACCTGACTGTCTCCTTCCCCCCTGCTCCACTCCCATCCGAACCTGACTTGATAGTGTCTCGGTGTAGCTGGATGCCCCAACGATTTGTGTTGGCCTTTCGTCGCTTTCCAATTTTGGGGATTATTAGAGTGTTTTTCTGGCCACTTTTGGCCACTTTCCAAAGGGAGTTGTGTGGCCTCATTTGGCTGGCAATATTTATTAGTATCTTTTCCATCTTCATTAACATCTATGCTGTGGCTTGCACTTATATCTAACCCACTTATCCGCCAGCCTGTAGCTGTTCCTCTTAATTAGCTCAATTGATGGACCACCACTAGAGTGTTAAATGCTGTCCGAGTGTCAATCCGCCACTTCACTTGGCTAATCTTTCTTCCTTTACCAGTCAATCGTTCCCTTCAAGCAGCCTTAGATAAGCTTGTCTGAGGGGATACAACAGTATTTGAACAATTAGGCATTGAGTAAAAGTATTCAAGATGCCTGCTGATTTGTGAGTGCCTAAATGGGGGGATTAACCTTTATTAGCTGTCTAAATCCTCTTCCTGCGCAGCCTGTCGCTGCTCAACAGCCGCGATTCGTCGCTGATCTCCTCAAACAATCCCATCATCAATGATCTGGTTAAGCCCATGAGCCTGGAGCTAAGCACCGCCGTGAAGTTGATCGCAAAGACACGACGCCAGCGCATGGAGGAGCTGTTTGCCCAGGAGCGTGACTGGGAGAAGGAGGAACTGTCGCGCCTGGGACTGAGCCGCATCGATGACTCCTACAAATGCTGCACACCTGATGGATTGCGCAAGGTCAAGCTATAGGCATTTCTGCTCTTCCAAATTCCAAAATTAGTTTGTCGCATCTCGGCGAGATCTCTCCACTTGCTGCAGAATTAAATTTATTTTATTCGTTATACATGGATTCCCCCCCCGCAAGACTTCCGCTTTTGTTTCACTTTCTCAGTTTTTCCTGCGGTCAACTGTCGGCGATATAATAAATTGATTTCGTCGGCTTTGTTTGCGGCCATTAATCTATCTATGTGGAGGCAGCGCCACGACCACGCCCCCCCGGCTCGGATTTGTTGTTCATTGTTTAATGAATGGCAGGCAAATTTCGTCGCTTTTGTGTCTGCCTCTGTGTCCTGTGTCCTGTGTCTGTGGTCGGGTAAAAACCCTTTAGAACGGTGGAGATTTGTGAATGGTTTTTTTCCGCAGTTTCCTCGGTTATTTGTCTCTTGTTTTTCCCGTCATTCTCGTTCCTTTGGACAAAACACAACTGATAATCAGGAGCCTACAAGGCCTAGGCTCAATAAAAGCGCTCCTTGCCCGAATTAATTGAAAGCCAAAAGCGAGAGAACTTTTTGTCCTCCAGTGCTCTGGTCCTCCAGTCTTTTGGTCCTCTGCTCCATCATCATTTGTCATTGTCAGCCAACGGAGTGTGATGGCCCGCTCCATTTTGCATTGGGCCGCCTCTAAGTAGATGAGATAAGGACCGGGAATGGTGCCCGATTCTGATTTGGATTCTGTGCCGATTTCCGCTCTCATCTCTCGTCTCCATCTCGCGCTGAGTGCACTTGGCTGCACTTTCCGTTTGACTTTTGAACGCGATTCGACGCGACCGTTCCTCCCCGCCCTTCCTTCTGCTTCGTTTCTGTGTGCATTCAGCGATGCGCTAATCAAATTATAAATCGCACCCATTGGAAAGTCGTTCGGTGCAGTTCCCAACATTGTCATCATCAGCCCAGAGAATCATAATTCTCACAAAAGAAGCAGCGAGACCCTGTCCAGCCCTCTGGTCCTGCCTTCCATGTCTATGCATTTTTTGTTCCCAATTTCCCTCCTCCCCAATTGAGTTGCTGCGGGGCTGCTCTAATGGATGTCAGTGTAGGGCTGCAACTGGGTCGCTGCAGGTCCATTTGCCCCTTTGCTCTTTGCCACATTTTTTTTGTCGTTTTTCCCCGCGTAATTGAGGGTTGTGCCGTTCAGGTGTTGGCCCGGAACATGCCACATGGGGCGCATTAAACAATGCCATTTCTTTAATTAACAATTTGCATTTGCCTTTTTTCGCTCCTCCCCTGCCCCTGATATACGAGTAGTACGAGTTTGTTTTGTATTCTCTTCTGTTTGCCCTCGGTCGGCCTTTTGTTTCGCTTAATTGCTGTTTACTTTGGGCACCTATTTCATGCTCACATGCCAAAACTAGAGCTGCATTTACTACGGGAGTGTAATGATAGGCATTTGCAGATCTTTTGGGCTGGCGAACGTAATCAGCTCTGCTTTAAGCTCTGGCTCACGCCCAAGTGGGTTATTTCATTCGATTCCTTCCCGACTATGGGCTGCTCCTTTGCTAATGAATCAAAATCCTATCCAATCATGCAAACAGCATGGAAATCTGTTTGCGGTGGTTCTTCCACTTGCCAGCCACTGTCTGGCTGGCTTCCTTCGGACCAGAGATAGTAATTTATTTCTTAAAAAGTGAAATCCATTAACACGAGTTTTCCCATCTTTCTCTCTATCTCACTCGCCTCCGTTCTACTCCCACTTGGAAAGAGAGAAATTGCAATCACCTTTGTAATTGTGCTCTGCTGCTTTTCAGCTTTATCGCAATGGCAATGCCCAACAGCTTTGCTTTGTGCACTAAAAGTATTAAATTTCTTCAAATATTCCGGGCATACATAAGCCAGAATGCAACAACGGCGCCACCAACCTTTTGTGGGGATTCCCCTTTATGGCTTTCGTTTGGTCGCCTTCGTCGTCGTCGTCGTCGTCGTCGTCGTCGTCGTAGTCGTCCTGCAGTAAGTCACAACTAAATGCTTTCCATTCCTTTTGCTGCCATTTTTTGGCTTTATCGTGGCTAGCGCTTAACTTTTAAAAATAGTTCTGTATTGTTGCCATTCGCTTTGTTAATGCTTTTGGAAAATGAAATCGCACGAATGCGCCCAACAATCCATTTAGTGCTGTAAAGAGAATGTTAGCTACAGGAATGTGGGATAACAGGCCATGCTAACTAAAACGAGTCCCGCAAATGCACTCATACATATGTTAAAGATATAACATATAATGTACATACATACACATATATTTATATTTATATCGATCGAGAGATCGATAGACTAGCCAGACTCATTCTTGTAGCGCAAAACTGAGCAGTGCGCTCCGGTGGCATAAACATACATAATTTTCGCTTATCTGTTTTTATTTTCCTTCTTTTATACATAAACATTTGCCAATAAGCTTAAGTAAGCATGAGCCACAATAATCTGCTGAGTTTCATTTAATTTATCTCCTTCCAGAGCGGATACACGATGCGACTCAAAGTTTTTATGGTGTTTGCCACCATCCTATTGATCCCCCTCAATTAACGAGGCCATTGAGGTTGTAGAGATGATCAGAGATGTGACCAACGCGATATTGAAGACTTGGGATGTGGTAGACTCCCTGCCGGTTAACGGCATCCATGACAAGCAGCAACAACTGATGAACAGCATCGAGGAGGTGGATGTCCACATCCGTAGTTTGGAGCAAATGGAATCCCTTCGCACTGCTCTTACCATCGAAACCCTGATTCGGGAGTTTCACCAGCAGTCTGCACTGCTGCACAAGCTGAACGTGGTCACAGTTGAGTGACTATGTCCAGCACAAGGATTCTCTGGAGGCCGGCACGCTGCTGAAATTTGCCGAATGAACGCCTCCGTGAGGGTTGTTATTCAGGTGATGGCCGACAGCGGACGTGTCTACTGGCGCTGTGATCCCGGCAAGGAAAAGCACGTGTCCGGGTTACGCGACTCCTTCAGAGCTACGTGTAGAACGAGGCCAACTTGGGCAAGGACCAGTCATGCTGGGGCACCCGTGGCGACTATGATGAGACTCGCTCCAATGGCTGCTACAAGGGTGATAAGCAGCTCTGCGGCAAGCTGCCGAAGTGCAACGGAAAACTCTACAACTGCGGCGGCATGGACTCGGAGCTGCAGGTCTGCCCTTCCGGGAGGAACTCCTCGCGACGCTACGATTACATTCAGCCTGATGGCCCGATTTTCGGCCGGAAGAGCTCCAGCGGAAAATGCGTGACGGCCACTGAAACGGCTTCATCCTCGTCTCACTATCTCTTCTGGCGCTGCGCAAACTGCTTCTGCCTGTGCGAAGAGCCGGGGGACCGCTCTCTGATCGCTACTTTAACCTGCGCGACTCGCTCTCAGACTTCATGGCGAACAAGGTGGTAACAGGTGTGCGCTTCTTGAAGATTAATCGTGTCTTCCACTTGCAGCTGCAGCAGGGCGAGCTCATGACCCGCGGGGCCATTAACGTGTCCTCTCTGGAGTGTCTGGCAGTGGACGCGTACCACCTGACCGCAGGAGGTTGTGCCACATCCAGTTGTGCCTCTGGCCGGCCTGGGCATCTATCATAAGGGTCGTCCTGGTTTCGGTGGCTTCTTTGCACCCAAGGTGGTTACCTATGACTACTCCCAGTATCTCAAGGAACTTCAAAGCCAAGTGAAAGCCAATTAAAATTTGTATCCATATCATTCTTTTCTAGGTATGCCCAAAAGTGAACAAATATATATCACATGTTCAGAAATTTTTAACATTCGCGCTAAATTTCAAATTGCCACAGCTAACAGAGCCGTACAGCGCATTAACAGACCTGCCGCTGTTAAGCAGAAATACCCTAACGCGTATTAAAATCCAGATCTGCTTTTGACTTGACATTGAAGTTTTTAAACTTTCAACCCGAGGGGACGCCAGTGTAACGACCAACACCACCACATGTTATTGGGCCTACTTCGTCGAGGTTTTTCGCGACCACATTTCTATCAGCATCATCTGAACGCGCAGCAGCTTTTCTTGGGTGCAGCTTTACTCTGTGGACAGACAAGGAACATGGCCGACGAGATTTCATTGGACGAGGCCAAGAAGAAGGCCGCACGCACCGCCGTCGACGAGTGGGTGACGGAGGGCACCAAGATCCTGGGGATTGGCAGTGGCTCGACGGTGGTGTTCGCTGTGCAGCGCATTGCGGAGCGTGTGTGGAAGGACGGCGAGTTGACCGACCTGATCTGTGTGCCCTCTTCCTACCAGGCACAGCATCTCATACTGGACTACAATCTCAACTTGGGCTCGCTGGATCGCAATCCCAACATCGATGTGGCCATAGACGGAGCCGATGAGGTGGACGGGCGCATGGTGTGCATCAAGGGCGGCGGTGGCTGCCTGCTGCAGGAGAAGGTAGTGGCGTCCTGTGCCAAAAAGTTCATTGTGGTGGCCGACTACACGAAGCAATCGACGCGCCTAGGCGAGCAATGGTGCCGCGGTGTACCCATTGAAGTTGCGCCGATGGCCTATGTTCCCATCAAGCTGCAGATCGAGGCAATGTTTGGAGGCGAGGTGTCGCTGCGCATGGCCAAGGTGAAGGCTGGACCCATTATAACGGACAATGGCAACTTTCTGCTCGACTGGAAGTTTGTTGCCAAACGGGAATACAACTGGGATGAGGTGAATCGCGGCATCACCATGATCCCCGGCGTCCTGGAGACGGGCCTCTTCGTAAACATGGCCCACAAGTGCTACTTCGGCATGGCCGATGGCAATGTTAAGGCGCAGACAAAGTAAATCCCGCCCACTACTACTGTTCACAGGGATTAGATTAATATTAAGCAGTGTTGGCCATAAATAAAGCAATTTTCACCTTGCATTTATCTACACATGGATGTATACTTGTTTGTCTGTCTGGTTTCTACATAGGTACAAAAAATAAATAACCAAAGGAACTACGCTAGATTTTAGACCATTCCACATTCCACAATCCGCTCTGCACACACATGTATGTATGTATCCTATGTATGTTCTAAAACGCCTTCTTGCTCCGCGCGGGCAGCAGCTGCTCCTTCATATAGTTGAAGAGGGAGAGCAGCCCCTGCTTCTTGTTGCGCGAGAAGTAAT